AAGAGAGCCGCAGAGACGGGGAGAGGATTATAACGGCGAGGCTATCCTCCAAGCCTCTAAGTAGCATACACCATAATTATACCTAAGAGTCAACTAGCAAATGTACTCGAATATAGATACGCAATACGAGCATTGATAATAACGCTTTCGTATGGCCTATGTATCATCTTGGGATCGCACAACCTCATTTACACGATGGGTTCGGACTACATAGATTTAAGTTCAAGGGGTTGAAGTCAACTTCTACCCCTCGGACTCCTTTACCCAACAAATTCGAACTACTACTATCGTTAAGAAAATATACTAGGACGATGTGTATCTCCAATAGATGGCCTCCCCCAGGAGCAGATCACATAGAACTCTTCTCAACTCCAGAATAGCTACCTGGTAGTTATCAGTCACTTCACTGCACATAGTTGCCACATCGTCATGATGTCAACTCCAGATTCATACTCCACTGGCCCTCGTGATCACTTATTTGACCGTTGTCATCATCATAGGAGTTCCGTGGCTCGTACCCAATGTCTCGGCCCTCTCTTTCATCGCGATTCCTTCGAATTATATCGAGAAAGAAGTGTCCGCAGGGCCCAGGAAAGAAACATGGGCGGTTGGGAATTCGACGAGGAAGATGAAGAGAGCATCAAGAAAGCTTCTCTGCTAAGCCAATTCATTGCCCGAATCCGCCAAGCTTGGTGTGCGTTACCATGTTCGTCGGCTTCGAGAATCCGACAAAAGAACCAAACAGCAAACCCAACACCGCGCAAAGATAAACACGCACGCTTTGCCGACGAAGACTCGAGTCCAGCATCGTAGCATTGCACTAATGTTCAACATAGAAACACAATTACCTCCGATGGGTAAAAGACAGAAGAGCCGCACAACATTCCTGATGTTACAACCACACTACTCGACGACGAAGTCTTCCAAATTTTTATATGTCAAGATTCAATATACGAAACGAACGAAGCGAAATAACACCATCTACCTCATTAGTGAGCGAGGGGTTAGCAGGAATCCCTGTCTATTCGATACTTATCACTCATGAACAGGCAAATGGAGAGGGGGACTCGGTGTAATAGGTGTGATAGCTGGCAACTTATCTACGATAGTTCGATAATCGAATATTAAATCATTGATATCGTACGAGTCGTCAGTAAAAGGGCCGCTCCACTTGGAAATCAATAGGAGAAGGTAAAAAGTTGCCCAACTCCACCTCCGTAAATCCATTCATGCCTATGAGATGACCATCAGTTTGAATGATCCAAGGCCTTAAAGCCGACCGAGCCCCGAAACCTGAGTATACTGAGCTCTTGTTTCTTTATGACCAGTCATCAATCTCATCATCAGTCTCCAGCTAATGAATGAGACCTTTACGACTATGAGCTGAACTTAAAAGGGTTTTTATAATTAATATAAAGATTATCTTATATAAAGATTAGCGCAGTGTAACCCTGCGTTGTCAAATCTCCGAATCTGCGAGGCCTTAAAGCCTAAGGAACACGAGAGAGAACATATTTCCCCGTGCTTTTCCAATAGATTCGGTCCACGATCTTCGACGCTCGCTAAATCGGCCACTTCATCTATGTAAGTCGGGCCGCTTTGTGCCTGCAGGACACGTGCTATGACCCAGAAAAACATTGAGTATTTGGGCCTTTTTTTATTTTCTTTTTTCGTTTCATACGCTTAACATAGCTTATTACGATAGGTTAGGTTTTTATTCTTTACATGCTTCTGTGTAGGACTTGGGCTTGGAACCGCGACAAGTTGTATAAATCTGCAGGGGGTTACGCACTGAAGCGATGATCCCGCAGCTCTCATTTAACATTGGAAACTGGTATTCACTTCAGATATAGAATATTTACGTAAAATCGTTCCATATCTTACGATAATACCAACCAACAGAACTCTTAAATCAAGTCCCAGCTAAAATTTTTAATTCTACAAAAAGACTTCTTGATGTCAAGGTGTAACCGGTTTAGCTAGCCTTGTTTTCCTTATTCGGGAAATGGCTAACAGAGCGGGTTCGCTGAATAGGCCCGCTATATCTGGCGCCGAACGAATCGGGCTCGAGTCCCTTTCCCTTTTATTTTATTTTTGGAAATCTGCATCGCCCAAGCAGGCAGCGAAGTTAGGTACTTACATGGTATAACTTAACCTACATGGTATATAGATAGTCATGTGTCTCCGACGCGGAGTAACGCAACGCTAGCTTCTGCTGCTGCTGCTGCTGCTGTTGCTTGTTGCCCTCTGTTACCTTAGCCCTACATACACTTACATACCCTACATATATATAATTCATATATACATTATGCATACTATTACATATATCTTAGGGCTATATCTTGAAAGGGGGTTAGCTATTCTCAATTAAGACTACCGGTCGTGCTAAACTACCGGCTTAGATATTCTGAGTAAACCCAAAAGGCCCCCAAAAAGTGAACTTTGAACCATATGCTTCTCCAACCATGAAGGACAGGCTCCAATCATCGACAAGCTTCGAATTTATAAAGTTTGGTCTCGAAGAGCCTCCTGACCAGCCGGACCTGAGCCTGTCCGTAGAGAGAGATGCTTTCTGGAGCTACTGCGGCCCTTTGCTCTCCACACTAGATGATCTCCCATCTAGCTTCCACGACTGGGCCCACGCTGCTCTGTCTGGCTCCTTACTTCCACTCCTACTCCCTTTCCTAACCTTCGTCAACGAGTTCATCCGAACAAATGGCCTTGATCACTACTGGCTCACCATCCGCGCGACGAAAGCGACCACGGAATACAACAAACCTAGATGGCACACGGACGACATGTTCTTTAATAGGAGTAGTGGTGACGGTGACAGTGGCGGTATTTGGGCCCGGAGAAAGTCGCTAGTGGTGGGTAGAGAAAAGACAGAGCTGGACTTGCAAACAGACTGGAAGTTATGCGCTACACTACTCGGCCCCGCAACCATGTTCATTCCCGCCGAGCACCAGGCAGCAGCTCGCGCAACGTCGCTCTCGACGAAGCGTGATCTAGCTACAGATCACATCTGTACCTCAGTCCGTTGTGTTGGGTGTGGGGTAACGGCCGAAGCTGTCCGGGACAAGCTCACGACCGAGTTCGCCCCCCTAGGCCTAGTTCAAGCGGAGCCAGGCGAGTGTAGCATATTCCGCATCGGCCAGGAACGTGGTGCTGTGCATTCGGAGCCCTGTATGAGTAGAGGAGATCGGATATTCGTCAACGTCGTGCCGGGGAAGAGAGACGAGTTGTCTTCTCTATTGGCCAAATGGGGGATGAATTGCCCAAGGTCATGGTTTATTGCCCCAGGCGTCTTACGTGGTCATGGATTAACGTGATTGATGAGGTACACGCTGGAGGATTAAGGAAAGGCTAACACTGTAGCAACTGAGCATGAGCATTCTTATGGGCCCTATCGAGAGGATTTTAAATGGATGTAGGAGAAGGATACCAGCCAAGGCCGAAGAAGAATAACCCCCTATCTTTTTTTTCCTTGCTGCATTTTTATCTAGTTTTCTAACGTGAACATGATCGAATGGATATCCAGGCTATGGTACCTTATATACTACTGTGACCGACAATCCGCAGAAAAGGCAACAAGGGTATCGGAGTTGAACCCCCTTTTTCGTTTTATGTGCGTGAACACCGCTCTAAAGAAATCACCTAACTACTACCTAAGCTATCCCGCTTAAGTATTTGCTAAGAGGGCGGAGAAGGTAGGAAGAACGTTACGGATATAGACATAGAAGAAACAAGAGGGATGTAATAGATGGGGTAGACGGATGAAACGGCAACAAGAGATACATATCATATAAGGATACGGCGAACAAATGAAAGACGAGCTCTAAACGAAAGAAAGAGAGAAAGAATGGGGTAATAATTAAATTTTTATTTATTTATTAAACGAGAAACCTACATCGAACAGTTAAAGTAAACAGTTAAACTTTAAACACCTTTAACACGTTCGAACCAGCGAACGAATCTCATACCATTACGTCTTCACATACAGCGGCTTCATATCCAGTTATGTCCAATCGCTTCCCGGGTTTTCTCAGCCTCTCTGGCTCTCCTCATCTCTCGATCGTGGTTGACAAGGAAACCCAACAAGTGCATAATCCTAATGCAGCGGTCAAACTGGATATCCTCGGGGCTCTTCGCTATCTCGGCATCTAAGTTGACATCGTACACCTCTCCCCGGGCCGTTATCAAGAAACTCATGATTCGCAGGGCAAACATTGACACATGGGGTAGGAGCTCGTACGGTGCCGACTTGCACTCATCTTCTACTGCTTCCCTTAGCGTCTTAGTCTTGCTTCGAACCACAGACGACGTGCGAAGATTTTGCAAGTAGTCGTCGACGCTCTTCCAGTCGGGCAACTCCCTGGTCATGGAGGACGCCGTAAGACATCTATTCATATAAAGCCGAAACGCTTCCTTAACTTCATCGACCTCAACCAACGTCTCTGCATCACGCTGGGTCTTCAATCTCATAGAGATTTGAAGCGACTTAACTGTCTCTGGATGTCTAGCGAACATTTTTTATGGTATATTAAGAAGTTGATTAAGGTCTGACTTGGTTAAGGTATGAATTGTTAATGTCTTGTCTTGTCTGGTCTGGTTTAGATCGGACTACTACTATGCGTTAGGCTTGTATTTATAGCTTATGAGGTGTGCTTATTTCAAAGCAATACCTAGTCATTGCTAGAATACCTCATGCACAAAGCACTAGTTTTCCCAAGTTGTTTGTTTGCTATTATAAAACAGTTACCGGGATTTGGTCCTTACTAAACCGAGACAGAATCTAGACAATGCCTTTGTGAGATAGTAGTGTACAATGGGATTGTTCGCCCTTCAAAGGGGTAGTCGTAATATACAATAATTTCTTAGGCCGACATCAAAACGAGCGTCTATAGGGGAGAGCACCACTCCTCCGAGTCACATCTATCTTTCCTCTGTCTTGCTGCTAAAACAACTCCTGAATGTACAACCATATCCTACAATACGTCGAATTAGTTCGTTGGGCGAGTAGATACTCGTTGGAACAAGTTAATCCATTCATCGTCCATAAGATGTTGCTGTGCAGACGAAATCGCTTCCAGCGAAGGGTCATTCACAAATTTCGAGTCATCTCCCCCGTAGAAATTGTCCAACGTGTAAGGAAAATTAAAATCTAAAAGCAGGGGGTCTTTACCAATACCAAGTTAGCCTCTTCTTTGTTACTAGATGTATGGAAATGGAAGTGAATTAAAACAGTGGCTTTTAGAGTAACATACCTTGCAAAGCGAACATCGGACCTAGCTCGTCCTCTACGCTAGCTGGGCTCGCTGTGGGAGTGCCCGAGATTTCGAGGACTATATTGATCGCTTTGACAGCCCTCCGAGCATTTCTAGATATAACGCTGTACCTCTTCCAGCACCCAGCAGATATTACGAGGAGCTTGTTAACCTCTTCTGCGTTTATTCCCTCTACTGCGCTTTTGGGGGTATCGGCGATCTGTTTAACATAAGCACAAACAATACTCGTTGCTAGGAGAAACTCGTTATTCATCACCGATGAAAGTTTCCAACGAGTCTCGTATAACAGGCTCCCTGGCTTGATTAGTTCATAAACTATATGTTGATACTCGAGAACTTCCATCGCTGCTTTTAAGCAGACTTTCCGCGAGTAACTATAACGTTCGTTTTGAATAGGTACCATGAAGTACTTCTTATGTAGAACGATTTTTAACCGGAGAAAGCAGATATCAAGCCAAATTCTTTGCATTATCAAGTGCGGAGGATCCGTGATGGATAGATGTATAGGCTGCATTCTTAAGGGTGGTGGAATGCGGAGCTGATCAGTCCGTAACCCTTGATCCATTGCAAGGGTCTCCTCATATTTATGAGGTCTTGTGTCTGTAGCTAGGTCGCGAACCTTCTCCCAAAGCCGAGAGATCCGGCTCCTAGTAATTACATATAGAACTACCAACTTTGTTAAATTTTTGTAATCGTCTTGAGCTTATGTTTGGCGTATGAATCAAAGTTACTAACCTGGCGTCAATTCCGTCTCAGGTCGAGATGGGGGAAGCTCAGTTGTTCCCTCATCGAAATCAGAGTCCGCAAGATTGTGTGGTTCTTCTGTATCTATCTGATTGTCTCTTAGTATACTCGGCAGGCCCATCTGGGTGGCAAAAATAAGATTCGCCTGGTATAGTGCCGCCCATGTCCGTCTTCTCATCTCACCATCGAAGGGTGATATGACTGGAAAGTTTTTAGGATCTCTATGATATCCCATTCTCATAGCAATACTTATGATCATGCTTAGTAAAAGATGAGTACCGAAATCCGAATCCTCCTGGAGGAAATGTTCTATACCAACATAGAGAATTAGGGTTTGTAAGACATTCTCACCGCCCCTGGTATACTTGCCCAGCGTCAGACACTGGATAACTTTCTCCCGATACGATCGTATAATTAGCGTATTTTCTGCATTAGGGAGTAGAGTGCCCGGATCGTGATCACCGTAGCGTTGTAAAAGCATAGACGAAAAACACATGATAGCGAACAAGAGCCCTATCCACATGATCGAAGCTGCAGAGGGGTCTTCCCAAAACTGATTATACTTATAGTAGCACCTGTTAGCGATCGGAAATTATCGGATGCACGAAACATAGTAGTAGTAGTTACCTGTCGAATAAACTGGCCGCTGTGTAATAATGCTATATGGAAGAATTAGCTCTAATATGTTACTCTAGTTTAAAATAAGCATATGAATATTACCTGGCGTCAAATCGATAGATGAAAAGAATTTCGAAACCAATGAATCGACTACACTTCGCGTTGGTAGCACGCTCAAGATCTCTCCTTTGCTGGATTGGGTAAACCGGCCGTATAATAACAGCGGACAAGGCCCATAATCAGGAATAGGTTGTAAGGGGTTCTGGGAATGCGGTCCTGATTCCGGACCATCTTGAAAATAGTCCTTGAGTTCGGAGATGCTATCTAATAGAGCAGTCCAATGTGCACCATCGACGTAGCTAACGCCGGCGGGGCTGTCCGTTAGTGTACCACCGTTTGGCGGTTCTCCCGATGCGCCCGCCTCGGAGTCGGGGGATCCTTCGGTGGTCTCGGGGAGTGCTTGGGTATTTGCTTGGATATTCTTGGATGCTGTCCGTTGCATAAGAGCATGCACAAGTCCTTCTAGCTCATGGATTCGGTTCTGCACTGTGGAATGTGTATCACGGTCCGAGGGGCGTGATGTGGCGTCCGGAGGATAACCGCAGGAAGCGGCAAGTCCCCGGAGGGTACATGTCCTACAAGGCTGTTGTCGATCACATTTAACCCTAGACGCTAATGTGAATAGAGTAACTTATTTAGGGCCGATATTAGATTAACAACATACTTCCGCCGACGACATGAATTACATGAGAGCTGAACACGATTATTAGTTACACATTACTACTCGCTCTCTCATAATACTTACCTGAGGTTTATCCCGTCTTCGACTTGGTGGGGGTAAGGGGCGGTGTCTAGTCGGAGGAGTTGCCGACATTATTTTCGCACATTATCGGATACGACCGTTCTAGCTCGGGGTTGGTACGAAGAAGAGTTTCTCTATATGGTGATGACTGAGAATGAGACAGTCTGTGTCTCTTCAAACAGGTAACTAACAAGAGTCAGTGAGGTTATTTAATCCGACATATCCGACCGTCCGGGACCGTCCGAGCCTCCGCAACCCCACGTCTTTTTAGCCATTAGAGAGACTTTCATAATATTTCCGTCTCTTAACTTGGGTTTTATTTACTGAATTATAGATCAGAAACTTAAATGTTAAATCTTTTTTTTTTTTTTTAAATGAGATAAGAACTTTATAAGAAGCACCTTGTTTAAATCATTTCAGGTAGTTAAACTTGGGTCAAATGTTCTTTGTTGTTTCTATCAGTTACTTTTTTCTCTTAAAAGGTTGTGAAATGAAAAGTTATCATTGAGATATACCAATAAATGAATTTTGTGAATTGCAAAATAAATATTACATATTACACAACTTGATGCCGTTTATAATGTTAAATACATTATAACAAATATAAGACATGAATTCCCGTAGCTTACAAGTTTTAATTTTAACATGATCAAATTGATAAGTCGTTTATTATCCCCTCATTCTCTATTACGGATATCTACTTAATATTACTTGAGTCTTCATGATGTCATATTATCTTACTACCTTAGGTCCATACCTCATAAGCCACCCAACATCAGGGCAGTGCTCTGGGCAATACCCCACGCCTAAACTCCGCCGAAGCCGACATCAAGCCGCATGCTTTCTTACCTCAAAACGTTTATTATAATCGATTGTGACGCAAGAGGCGCGCGAGTCCATAACAGCGTTGGTAGTTTAGTGCAATATAACCTAACGCTAGCTAAAGAATCAAGTTACTTACACAATGTCAACTCTGTCATTAGAAGAAGAAGATCCCCCGCCTTATATCCCAGAGAATCGGAATGACGGAGACGATATACTTCAGCCTGCTATCTTCGTACTTGACGGCCATTACATCCGTGCCCAAACAGCCGACGGTGCTCCGTTATACGAACTCTCTCGTGATGTTAGGAGATCTCCAACAAGCGAGGCCCGACTTGCCCAAGTGACGCTCGAACGTTTGATCCGCAATGTAAGGATAAGCGCAAACGGTACGCCTCGAGTTATACACCGCACCCGCCATATATTCGAACTCAAGCACCTACCTCCCGTGATATCTACTGGATTCCCATATGTCTTGGATGCCATATCGCGGAATACTGTCGGGAACCTCGCGCTGAAGCCTGCATCCTTCCCTCGATCGGGATATAAGGTCGTAAAGATTAAACCTGAGAAGGAGAGCGGGTTCCCTAAAGGATATCGAGCCAGAAAAGAGTCGTTGAAGGGGGACGAAGTGATATTCGAGATACTGAAGAAACGCGACCATTATGAGTGGATGCACCCTATTGACGGGAGTCGTATCGCGGTAGAAGATGAGAAGGAGAATCAGCACAGACTGATAGTCACGGCCCCTATAACGCGGAAGATGATGGATGCCATGGTAGCTAGTTGGACTCTACGAATTTGGCGTGACGGTATGAAAGCGCATGGCGAGCCGTGGAAAGCATGTAAGTTGATATCACTATCGTTACCGAATAACTGTATGTGTTAACACTCTCAAGTCTCTCAAGTCAATACAGAAGTAAGGAGCGTACGAGAAGTTCTTCCAAGGTGGTGGTAACTGGAACAACGAAATTAAAGAGTGTTAGTGACGTTAGGGTCATGTCTCGAATATTTGGCTACCTAGGTAATTTATAGGTAGGCGACAAGGGAGGGGAGTAACCATATAACGCCTACACAATTCTGAAGACGAAGCGGAGACGGTTTCTCAGCCCTACATCCCGAATTTTGAGAAGCCCCGGACTGGACAGAGGGTCTTAGGGACTTCCTTCATTTGATCACGGAATTATATGTCCACGACATTCACGACATTTACGACATTTATATGTTTTCCCTTATAAGCTGTATATATTAAAATCATTTAGAGGTATCTAGTCAAGGACGCATGATGTAATCAAATTAAGTCGACGATTTATCCCCTTGCTTCCCCCACACATCCCATCTACGATGAGACATGTTATAAGCCAAAAATAGCTACACATATCAAAATAACTATTCGTCCGAGCACATCGTTAAACTTCTTAAACTTCAACGTAGCTAACTAGGTAATTTGAGTTGCCGAACCAGGTTCTCTCTTGGTTCTAACGAATAAGATATCGGCATTGGTAACCTTGGCGCCAAGGTGATCATCGTCGGCGGTTGAGGTTTGAAACATACCAATGTCAGTGCTTCATTCAATGAGGGTTTCAAATAGTCTGGGCAGTCGTAACTGGGGATGGGGAAATGAACTACACGAACAGTTGAGATGTATTAAAATGATGGCGTCTGCAGAATGTTTCTTGAAATCTTTACCTGCGCTGGATTTGGCAATTAAGCACATGTGCTTCCCCAGGTCACTTTTACTTCACTTCACTTCGAGATATTGGGCTGAGCCCTCACTAATAATTACTATCCACGGCTGGACCTAATTGAATAACAATTACTTTCATTGAGGTTGACTTTCTTGTCTTTCCCATTTGTTCATTTATTTCAAGTCTAGGTTGTCGAGATTATAGTGTTGCGTATTCACAATGAGGTAAGAAATCGATAAGTTGCATTTATAATGTTCTAGGTCTAATCATAATAAAGGAGCTCAAGTTATCGAAGAAGCGCTCGCGCAAATAACCTAAGGGTGTTTATTCGCGACGATGTCCCAGATACCGTTGACGACGTCGAGTCCGATTCCGAATCTGAAGATGAACCAGATACACCATCGCCAACAGAAGATGTGTTCCCGTCACCTTCTGCTGGGACTCAGGCACCTGCCACTCCGGAGTCTTCAATAGAGGCACCTCAGCCGACAACATCCACGAGTATCAGCGCACCAGCAACTCAATCTTCTTCAACTAGCACAGTTCTTTCACCAAGCACATTACCACAAGCCAACGAACCTTCACAAGCTCAAACAGCTCAAGCCGAAGCCCCCACACGTATAATGAGTAAGGACGGCGCCATAGCACTCGGCACAATTGGTAAGACCACCCTGATGAAGCCCCTTTTAGCAACCCTAAAGACTAACAAAAACAATAGGAGGAACAATAATAATCGCAGCCATAATATTTCTTCTCTGGAAATGCCGACGGCGCCAAGCCCGCGCAAACGGCAGCGTCACATCTGGATTCTCTCCCTTTTCTCCCTTCTCCAGGTTCAAGAAAATGGAAGAGCCTCGGGAAATATACACCACAAACCGTGGATCAGGAGGGAAGACAGAATCGAAAATCATGGATGATCTCATGGCGGCTGCGTATGCTGCTGAAGACGGTAATGCGTCGCAGTACGGGGCGTATATGGATGAAAAGCAGCAATCTTACAACTCTATGTATGGCCCGAATACGAGGCAGTCGAATCCGCCCCAAGCCGCAGTAAATCCTGATAGGGGATCGAACTCCCTTTATGTCAATCAACTCATGTCCGGATTCTACAAGGGTTCGAGAGCAGATGGACTCACGGCCCCTGCTAATGCGAGAATGCCTCCTCCGGTAGCTCCCTCTGTCACAGGGCAAACCGAGATCACAACTACTACAGAAAGCACGTGGAGGACTTGGGGTTGGTCGCAAAAGAAGCCTACGAAGGAATCTTGGGTCGATAAATGTGTCCGCTTGGGAGGCTTGAGATGATTTTGACTTCGGTTCGATATAATAATATTCATAGAGCAGATTAGGAACTTGGATCAAGCTGCTACAATTTTTAAAATCGAAGCGTTACAATATCCGCATTTTTAATTCACGATGACTTTTGGTAAATGTGACATCAGTTATTAGTGCTGTCTATACAAGTTCGACGTAGCATCTTTAAGAAGGTATTGCGTATTAATTAAAAAAACGGGTAATAATTAAGGATTTAACCGAAGTATTTTTATTTAAATATATTTTTTATCAAAAATTAAATAATATTAATTAAAATAATATTTTTAATTATTAAATATAAAAACCTTAAAATTTATTTATTAAAATATTAATTTAATATTATTAATTTTTAAATTTTTTTAAATAATTAAAAAATCTTTATAATTAAAAAATTATTAATTATTATTAAATTTATTTATTTAAAAGCTTATTTCTATTTAAAAAATTATTTAACCTTTTTAAATTAATTTAAACCATACGTTTTAAGGCTAAATTTTTATTAATATTTTTTAAATATTATAAAAAGATTTTATTATTATTGGTTAAAATAAATTTATTATTTATAATATTTATTTAAACTAATTTAAAATAATTTAAATATATTAATTTATTTATAATTTTAACGTTTAAATTAATTATTAATTTATAATATTTAAAGGTTAATAAAAAAAATTTTAAAAATAAATATTATTAGAAAAATTTTCTTAAATAATAATATTTAATAATTTTATTAAATTTAGCTTTTATAATTTAAATATAACTATATATTATATATAATCTTAACGTTTAAACCTTAAAAAATATATTAATTTTATTTAATATAACTTTAAATAATTTTTAATTTTTATTTAATTTATAAATAATACATTTTACGGTTAATATTTAGTTATTTAAAAAATTTCTTTTTAAATTAATAGGTTTATTAAATGTAATTATATTAAAATTATTTAAATTTAATTTATTATATATATTTAAAATTATTTTTATATATTTTATATAAATAAAATATTTTTTTATAAATATATTTTTAAGTATAAATATTTTTAATCCCTTTATTAATTATATTATTAATTTATTATAAAAAAGGTAATTTATAATATTATTTTATATATTATTACTATTTTTTATAATATTATTATTATTTATTTCAATGACTTGAAACTAGAAATTTGAAAATGGTTCGGGAAAAAATACCTTTTTTAGCCATACTTTTCCCCAATTAATTACACCCTAGTACACCCCCTTAAAATATTTTTAAATTTCTAATTTAAAATAATTTTAAACATTTTCTTTTTATTTAATATAGTAATAATTAAATTAATTAAAAATATTAATCTTAAATAAATAAAATCTTTATATAAAAAATAAATATTAATTTAATCATTTAAATAAATTATTATATATAAAACGTACGCGTTTTAAATCAAAATTAAGTAATTATAATATTGGTTGTAACGTAATAGCCGCAATAAACGTTAAAACTTATAACATTACAATATAATATTATATAAATATATAAAAAAGGTTAAAAAAATCAAGTAATTAAATAAATAGTTTTAGATTAAAAAATAAAAGATATTTTAAATATAATTATAGATGGTTATAAGTAATTGTAAATATAAACGCGTAATTGCAAGTATAAACGTATAGGTATAAATATATAAGTATAACGTTTTAAAGCTATTTAAACGTTAAGATCTGCAATATTATAACGTAATATTATATAAGTATGTAAAAAAAACGAAAAAGTAGTAAAAATAAAAGATTAACCTTAAATAATTAAAATAAAAAGTATTTTAAACGTGGTTATAAATGGTTATAAGTGTAAACGCGTAGATATAACATTTTAAAACTATTTGGATATTAAAATTTACAATATTATAACATAATATTATATAAATATATAAAAAAAATAAAAAGGTAGTAAAAACAAAGGACTAACTTTAAATAATTAAAATAAAAAATATTTTAAACGTTATTATTACCTATTATATTATTATTAATATAATTTTATTAAAAATTTAAAATATATACCAAATATGGTTAAAATATTAAATAATAGCTAAGATTAGAATTTAAGAAACGCCTCCTTTAAAACCCACAAATATAAACACATAAACCAAGGATTTCGTGGCACCTATGGCGCCAACAAAAGGGAGGCGAAGGCAAGCGAAGCCCCGCCGCTCCTCGAATCTTTAATCTTAACACACTAAGATAAATTATTATTATTTTTATTTTTTTATAATTAGGTTAAATTTAAGTTAAAATTATTAAATTTATAATTTTAAATAATTAATAATTTATTATTTATATTTTTAATATTATTATTATTTTATAAAAATAATAATAAGATATTATTTTAAATTATTTAATAATTTATAAAATTATTATATAATATTAATAAATTTATAAGCTTATTTTATAACGTTAAAATTATAAAAATATATTTATAATTAATATATATTAAATATTTATTAAAAAAAATCTATTATATTATATTTAATATATTAATTTTTAATAATAAAATTTAAATATTAAAAATAAATTATAATTAAAAAAAATAATATATTTTAAATTAAATTAAAAAAGTTAAAACTTTTTTTATTATTAAAAAATATTATTTTTTTAATAGTTATTCTTTTTATATAAAATTAAATTATAATAGGTATAAAATAAAGGTAAAATTGTATATGTTAATATATATATTTAAAATAATATATATATTTCTTTTAATAATTAAAATTTTTATTATATTTATTATTTTTTTTATTTATATTATTAATTTTTTATAATTATTAATAAAAGATTAAATATTATTATTATAACGTAAAATTAATTTAAATAATTAAGAAATATTATTTTTAAGATAGTAATATTATTTATTAACCAATTTAAATATTTATATTTTATAATAATTTCTTTTTAATTTTTTAAAAAAACCTTTAAAAAAAAAAATTGGATTTAAATCTTCTCCTTTAATAATATTAATATAAAATAAAATTTCATAATAATTACGTTATTTTAGGGTTATTAATAATAATTTTTAAATTTGTTATTTTTTATATTTAAAAAAGAGGCGGGTAAATTTTAATTTAAAAAAAAAGTAATAAAAAAACTTACCCCTATTAATTTTCTTTTTAATATATTAATAAAATATTTATTAATTAATAATTATATAATATTTAATAAAATATAATTTTATATAAATTTTATTTTTTATATTAATTTATATAAAAAATAAAATTTTATTAAAAATTTAATTATTTTAAAAAATATTTTATTATTTAATTTTAAAGGTTTAATAATATACTTTTAAATTTATTTTTAAATAATTAAATAATTTAATTAATTAATATTTTTTTTTTATTTAAAATTATTAAATTACTATTATTTTTATAAAATAAATTATTAAAAATATTTTTAATTAAAAAAACTTTTTATAAATTTTATTTTTTTAATTTAAATATATTTATTATTATTATTATTATTATTATTACTATTATTAATAGTAGCAATAATAATAACAACGCCATAGTTAAAATAATTTATAAATATAATATTTAAAATATATTTTAACCTTATATATTTAAATTTATAACTATTTATATATTAATAATTATTAATATAATTAATATATAAATAGTTACGGTTTATGGTAAAAATATATAATATCTTTAGTAATAATATTAAATCGAAATATTAATTTAATAAATAATACTTACATTTATTACTATTATAACAGTAATAAAGCATATTATTCTTTTATAAATATATAAAATTTTTAATAATATAATATATTATATATATATATTAATTAAAAATTAATAACTTCATTAATATTTAACATTAATATTTAAATTAATATTTATTTTACCTTTTATTTTTATTTTATTTTTTACCTTTATTTTATTTTTTATTTTTATATTAATAAAATTTATAATTATTATTACCAATTTAAAAATAACTTATTATATAAATTTATATAAATTTATATTTAAATAAAAACGGGTTAACATTTAAACTAATCTTAAAAATAAATTAATAACGTTATTTATTATAAAGAAAAAAAAAGAAAAAATAATAATATATATAATAATCATTTTTAAAAAAAGAAAAAATAACAAAATTATTAATAATAAATAAAAAATTTTATTATATAATATGTTTAAGTTTATAAATAAAATAAATTAATTATAATTATTTATTAATATTTATAAAAATTTTTTAAATTATAAATTATAATTATATATATAAATATATATTTTAATAAATATAATTATAATTATTATAATAAATATTTATAATAAATATAATTATAATATTTTTAAAATACGTAAATATCTATTATAATTTAAATAGTTATAATATTATAAATATATAAATATTTATTATAATTTAAATAATTATAACATTATAAATACGTAATTACTTATTATAATTATAATTTATTTTTATACTATTTTTTTATATAACCATTAAATATTATTAAATTGAAAATATAATATTAAGGTTTTTTATATATATAAAAATTTTCCAAAAAAATAACTTTATATTTATTATAAAATAATATATTAAAATATATATTTTAATAATTAATTATTATTTAATAATAAAATAATTAAAAATATAATATATTATTTAAAATAAAAAAAAAGAAATTTAATTAAAATTTTATAAGTTATAATAAGGTTTTTAATTATACAAAATAAAAATTAATATATATAATTATAAATTAATTTTTAAAATTTAATATATAAATAAATTTATTAAAATATTTCTACGCGTATAAAAAATATTAATACTATATTTTATATTTAATTAAATTTAATAGGTATATAAAAAAATAAAATAAAATAGTTAAATTATTAAATATAAAATTAATAAAACTATTTAAATAAAAATAAATAATATTATTTATAAAACTTTTTTATATTTATATTTAATTTAATTTAATATTTATTTATATAATTTTATTTTTAACGTTTATAATT